GGGGGAATGTGGATCATTGGGTTTTAGAAGATCTGAACAAAGTTCCAGATCTGCAGATCAGAGAAAACATTAGAATAATTTGGACTTTTCTTTCCTTTTAACATTTTCTCCATTCAATTAATCCAATTTACTTGAGTGACCTCAATAATCAATTTTTTCGTGAAGTGAGGTCAATCCCTGGATGCTCAGTTCATGTCAATATCTGCAGATTTATCATCATTTAATCAAATGATTTTTCTATATCCGGAATTACGGGATTCAAGGATGATTATTTCACATCCGGTTTGAAGCTTTTGCATGCTGATCCCTGGTTACATGCTGATTTTAATGTCCATCTACCATGCTTGCATGCTGAATGCCGAATGCACATTTTGTAACAAGCAATGCTAGTTATAAACCGACCTTGCAATTCCTTGGGCTGTAAATGGCTTCAGTTCTTAGCATGACATTAATTTTAAAAAAAACTAAGGTTTCCATGACGAAAATGTTCAGGCCCTGGTAGAGGATATTGCGTAGTACGCACATGTTTGCGCGTAAAAAGTGCGCGTTTCACGCGTACCCGGCCATGACTAGGTTTACGAATAGAGGGATGCAAAACTGCGCCGTAGCACAAGGTTATTGTAAACATTAAATAACCCGACGGGAAGGAAACAGGAAAGGAAGGAAGAACCAATGAAAGTAGGTCTAGGGAGAGAGGGGGGTTTGTTTACATTTTAAGAGAGATAGGTTACATTCTTTATATTCAATGAGATAAAACTATTTCCGGAGCAGTCGTAATACGTCACAGTAAAATGTGTACACAAACTCCCTCTCCTTGGTTCTAATACTCCTTGGGAAGTCCTATATGCCTTTAATATTTTATGAGAATTAATCAGAATTGTCATGTTTTTGTGAGAAACTAATCAGAATAAGAGGAAGGACATTATAAAAATTACAAAAAAAGATAATTGAAATTAACAAAAGGGGGGGGGTAAATAATCTTTAAACAAAACTAGACTATTCGAATTAAATATTTTAACATTTTATAAAGCAGATTGATGAATATTTAAAATTCATTAAGGTGTATAAAGATGATGCATGTATCTATGTATATGTATCAAAGGTTTAATTAGTGATGCATAATAAATTCACCTTTATGACTTTCATTTATAGATGTTGAAAAGATATTTTTGATATCTAGAGATACTGAGAACTAACTCACCAGTGCGGCTGTGCATTCGGACATAACCGGAGAAGATGATCGTTCCTGTTCAGTCTTCTTTACAGCCAGGAACTCCGTCCTGGAGTCCCTGGAAACTTCATGAGCTCGAGAACCTCCCGGAGCACCTAAACCTCCAACCTCAACCTCTAATCTTCTGAGACGATAATATTCCTCACTACTTGAACCTTCTTCGGATACAGTTTCACTTCCTCTCCTCTTTCTGGACCTAAAAAATAAAATAATAAATTATTTTGTTATTATGTATATTGTACACTGTTTACAGTGAAACCCAAAATAATAAGACAGATTTTAATCTGCTTTTTCTTTTAAATTCAGTTTTCTAAGATTTAAAATCTATGAGACTATTATCGTTGACCTAAACTCCCTTTTGGGATCTAAATATTTCTAAATATTTCATTTCAAGAAAAGTTATGAGCAAAAATATTGATATCTACAAAAACATGTCCCTACTTCATTTACGAATACAGGTAGATACCGGTTTTTGTTTAACAATCACCCTATTTAAAGTTTCTGTCTCTGCTCTGCAGTTGTAAACTAACTTTATTCCTTTGCTGCATTATATTTTCCTATCCAAAAGATAATTTTCAAATCAATGTATTCAGTCAAGGTAACCCTGTATCCAAAGAAGTAAATTGATTAGTGTCGACTGAGCTGTAACTCCTGGGGAGGGATTAGTTAGGTTCTCTACATTTAGTGATTGGCAAAGAGTTTACTTCCGTTTCTATTCAGTACCCCCCCCCCCTCCCCCAACATAAGTCCTCCTTCCTTCTATATCTTAAATTTACCCCCTCCCCTCTCCCCTTGAATATCTATATTTCAAAACTTTTATTCTTATCATGCTTTTACCTCTGTTGCTCAAGAATCAAGATAAAAATAAGGTTTGTATAAATTTAAAACTTGCTAATTATTTCATATTTTAAAAATTTTTATTCTCCCTAGATTAAAAATGATTTACGTCCCTCCCCCCATATTACTTAACGGTGTATTCTGACCGGTTTATAAAGAGAAAGTTCACGCAAAAACATAACAAAGACTAAATTTCAGGTGAGAGAGAAATAGCGTTTATAAACAGGAAACATGTTTACTCGTCGTGTTTAGTCAGTAAACTCGGGGCAGATTTTAAGGAACTATGGCCGTAATTTTAACCAATCCTCCAATTATAGAGTGGCATGTCCAATTCACAAGGGTGTATACCTATGGAAACCTTGCAGGAATGATGCTACAGAGACAATGAAGGAACTGAAATTGAGGTGTAAATTGTCGACTTTAATAATATATTCCCATTAACTTCGGGGAGCAAAAAGGAACGAGGGGGTCTATTTGAAGGGAGCGTCTGAAGGTTAAAAAACTTAGGACGAAAAGGAAGGGTTTTTGCGGGAAAGAAGGAGAAAGTAGCAGGAAGAAGGGAAATAAAGAAGGGAGATGGGAAAAGGAGGAGGGAGAAAATATGAGCTAGAAGGGAGGAGAGAGAAAGGAATAATGAGGAGGGAAAAGAGAAAAAGGGGGAGGGAGAAATGATGAGTTAGAAGGGCTGAGGGAGAAGGGGAAGAGGAGATTTCTATGGGAGAATGAGATCCAGATATGATAGGATAGGGGGGTTCAGGTGTATCTTAAAATCCATCCCATGGTTTAACTGCTAGGATTTACATAAATTTTACATGGTCAGGATGTGGAAAAGGGGGCGGGGGGAACTTGAATTTCCCCATGTACAGCTTACAAATATAGTAAACTATATATATGCATGGAAATAGGCAATTGGCCTAAATATGTAATTAAATTATAGGATTTAGTTCTGAGGGGAGGTGACGGGGTGTGAGAAGTATTTTTTAGGAGGGGTGGGGGGTGATCTTGTTAGGAGGAGGGGGATCTTTAAGGAGGAAAGGGGGATCTTAAGGAAGATGAGGGTCTTTAAGGAGGGCTTTTTTAAGGTGGCGGGGGAGGGGGGGAGGATTGGTTTCCTGGCTTAACATTGGACAAAGAAACCTCTAATGTATAACATAGCACTGAATATAAAAGAATACAAATAATTATACATTTTTAACCAAGAGAGGGGGGGGGGGAGAAATAAAGATAAAAGAATAGATAGATAGATAGATTGGCCTGAATTATGAAGCATAAAGAGGGTATAGGTCAGGGCCTGGATAATAATTCTATCTATCTATCCTTCAACCTGTATATCTATTTATCTATCTATCTATTTATGTTTTATGTTTTTCTACCATGCTGGGTTTAATACAATACATGAGATCAGAAATCAAACCACAGACTTACAACAAAAATACTATTTTACTATTATTATTATCATTGTTATTATTTCTTTTAAAATCTATTAAAAACTATGAAAATAAGTTTGCGTTGGATGAAGAGTTTTCGTTTAATCTCTTCAAATTATGAAAGTATCCCAAAAGGTGGAAAATTAAAAGTGTCCTGAGTAGGGAAAAAGAGAGATTTTGAGGATAATAATAATGATTAAAAGAGGAATATTTTGGAATAGATTTAAGGAGGAAGTTTAAAGTAAAATGTCAGAAAGGGGAATAGATTAAATAATAAAAGTTCGATTTGATCTGGAGGAGATTGGCGACAATTCGACCTTATTCAAATTATAGAATAACGTAAAATTTTGGATGCCTCAAGTAGGTTTTGGACTGCATGGATCATAGAAGGGGAGGGGGGGGGAGGGAAATCCCTATAAATGTAATGTAGTCCATTCACTGCCATTTTACAGGATTACTGGATTACTGTCGAATTTTATTTTATAAGGGCAGAGGGATGGATGGATAAAATTTTAAAGACGAGAGGGAGGGGGTGGAACAAGGGGTGTATAATTTCTTGAAACTTCCGTCTTTGAAACTCAAAGTGGAAAATAAAGAATTTTTAGGTGGGAAATAACTGAATTTTTGGGGAAATAGTATCAATAAGGATGAAAAATTTTACCCTTTGATTTAAAAAAGGTAAAAAAGAATGGATTTAAGGGTGTCCAGGGGTCTACAGGGTTAAAATAAAGTGTATAAAAGGGTAATTGTGTATCTAGGAAGAAGGGTAAAGGAAAATAAAAGAAATAATAAAAATTTAAGTTCGAAGGTTTCTGTAATAAATAAAAATATTTTCAGTAAACATCTGCAGGGTATTTTGCAATAGTTGGGGAAACAGGATTTTCTACTTTAAATAAATAAATAATTTCAC